GAACGCAACGTACCGACGTCGCTTCTGATCTAACAAGCAGAATCAACTTTACATTTACTAAACATGGAGCAGCTCTGGTGAGACGGATTCAGTCAGATAATAGAGAGAAATAATAAAGAACAATGACTACGCCCTGGCTTCATTCCATGCTGCTCTCCATTGTTTACTTTCCTGATTTCTGTAGTAGGGCTGGAACGGTTCATGGTTTCATGGTCACAGTTTTCGGTTTGGTTCGGTATATGTTGATTGTTAGCCTGACATGTTGGTCGTGTTGCTGTTAGCATAAACAAAACGTGTTGCACAATGCTTGGACACTGTTGCACTTTTATCCACAACTTTCTTTCCACCGTCATCGTAGGTCACTCTAAATGCAAAGTGGTCCCATACAGCAGACCTATAAAGTGCTGCTGGCGCGTCTCCCAAATCCTGTTCTTTCCCACTCGCCATACCCACACTCCACAACAACTGATTTTTTTCTGCTACACCCGGCTACGCTGCTTCGCTTCTTCTTCTTGTTTACTACTGGTGGTTGGCTTTGGTCGCAGTACCGCCACCTGCTGCTCTGGAGTGTAAACGCTTCGCCTATGAGAAAAAGGAGGGCAAAACACGCAAACCGAACCGAGACAGTCGAACCGAACGGTTCGGACGGTTTTCATAAACCGTTCCATCCCTATTCTGTAGCACTGGTGACATCATCAACGCAAACCGAGAGTGATGATGTCACCAGAAATGCAGCGGAGGGGGGGACAGAGGCCTGAAAACACGCATAAATGCGCTATTTTCAGTGAGAAAGATGCTTTACTGGAGGAACAAAAACAAAGTTAGTTGTGTTAATACTAATGTAGGGACGACAGGTTAATGATAAATCTATTAACATGTCAAGAAATTGCTTCTGTCAAATACTCTTCCCTCCATTAAAGACATTTCGTGTCCCGAGCCTGTGACATCATCAATGACCCCTCACCCCCCACCATGGACTGTTCTCTCTGCTGGGAAGAGGCTTCACAGCATTCAATGCAGGACCAGCAGGTTCTGCAGCAGCTTCTTCCCCACCTCCATCACACTGATGAACTGTTGAAAAGAAACTGGATCAAACTGCATATTTACACCATATATATCAATGCTCCAAACTTCCATATCAATGTGGGTTTTTTGCACCATGTTTTTTTTTATTACTGCTGCACTTTATGAAATTGAAATGTTATGGAAGCTGTACAAACACATTTTTGTTTTCTATACACTCTGGTTATGCAATAAAACAATAAAAGTTGTTTAAAGTCTAAAACCTTTTAAAGCACCAGGGGTCATTTAGATGTTGGTTTTTAGGCTAAAATTCGTCATAGTCTTGACTTAATAATTGAAAATTGGTCTGTTTGGTCAGTCGGATTTTGTCCCACTTTAGTCCAATTACACACTAAACTAAACGATCTGAAACTTGCGGTCTTTCACCTTTTTTTGAACATGATGTAGACGCTGTTTGGACGTAAATCATCTTTTCAACCAATTTTTGCTCAGTGGGTTGAATATATGTGCATCACATGATCTTCAGGCATATCTGCTGAAAGCACTAATGAATCGTTTAATACCAATCAAGAAATACCAGTCCAAGATATCGGTGGTTTCCTGTATCCCTAAAATCAATCTTCCAACTCATTCAACAGGAATTCTGTCTCATTCTTGCGTCACCTTGGACGCACACCAGTTTTCACCTCTCTTCTGTACCAACATGATACTGTTCTAATGTGGACTCAGGTTATGACAACATATTGGGTTTAAAATCTCAAAACATTCCCTGTCCAAACAGTGGAGGAGAAGGGGATACATTTTTCATCAACAAGGGAATCTCACAAAAGAACAAAAGACGTGTTGCGCATCGGCTGAGATGAGAGGAACCTGTTCACAGCTCAGCGAGTGCACAATCTGCAGTGTCACAAGAAACTGCTGACACCTTAACAAGGCTGCATCCTCAACATACACAAACCCGTCCAACTGGGAAGCAAATAAATCACAACTTCAAATCTGCTGATTTTAACGGCATCTCGGGTTTTTCCTGCTGTGGGATACAGAGGTCTTGCTAATCTCTTCTTCCATCTACCTCAAACTCTCTGTACCCATTGCCATCTGAGGAGCAGGAGCCCTCCATGACCTGGGGGGGGGGTGTTAACAGTGAAAGGGATCTTGAATAAAAACACACAGAGCCTTCTCCTTAGATCAAGGCGGCCCTAAGGTTTCATGTTGTCTCGCTTCCCTCTGCCTGGGAGTACGACCCACTTCCACCATGGACACACATGCAAGCTCTACCCACACAGCTGTCAAAACCCTGACGTCTTAATCAATCCTGGATCCACGACCCTGTCAGACACAGCAGTAAGATGGATGCAGAAGAGGGCGACCCCTGACCTTCACCAGGGGAGGAGAATACAAGTCTTCTGTGCCCCATAAGCTCCCCCTCGGCTCCCTTTTCTCCCCAAACATCAGCGTCCTCGCTCGGCTCTCCTGCCACCCAAACAATGACAGAGGAGACCCCATTCATCTTAGGCTGGGAACCAGAGGCCAAGGTGCCCTCGTAACCTCAGGCGTACACAGGAGGAGAAGGACTCACAAACACACAACTTCATGCAACTTTGCAACGTCTAGCACAGAAAACCTTTAAGGATAGGCCGACCGACCAACTGAAACTCAGCGAAAAAACCCACGCTGCCCCCAGAACAAGCTTCTGTCTGAGCATCTGGGTCAACATCTCCTTAGAGGAGCTGAGCGTCTCTCCCATCGAGCCTGTCACTCGTGGGAATACTAACCAGCTCATCAGTGCACTTGACGACCAATAGTTGGCAACACCTTTGAACCCCGGAGTCAGCGGAGTTCATCCACTCTGACACGTCAGGCCGCACCCGAGGCACATGGCCCCCCTGAGCCTGGAGGAAAGTGAAACATGGAAAGATAAACTGAAGCTAAAAGGTAATGGAGTGGCTGGCATTGTTAACTTAAACACAATCAAGGAGCTGCAGTGATATTTGAGCTAAATGGATACACTGGCTTAGAAAAGCAACCGAGTGTCAGAGAGAAATTGGCAAAATACGACAAGACTGCATTAGAGCCATTAAATCTATGGCTGTGCGTTCATACTGCGAGTTACAGCTACTTATCTCTACGGGTATAAAGGCGATAAGGAGACTACTTTAATTTCACAAGGCATGTGATACAGTTGACTGTATAGGATGACGGTGTGACTGTAAAGAACGTTACACTGTGCCAAAAAGGAATTACTTCAGCGTCCAACCATGTTTTGATCTTTTTGTTACTCATTTTTTTAAAAGGAAAACCTGGCAGGGTTCGTCTGAGATTAGTAACAGCGGAGCCTTTTTTTTGGCCAAGCATACAAAAAGAACCCCAAAATCCCATCTGTGACTACTTGAACGCCTCTACCCCTCCCTACACCCAGGCAGCCAGTGGCACCCCTAAATCACCAGACCTGTTTGTCATGCAATTAGTCCTCCAAGATAAAGACTCCCTCGTAAATTAGGAGAGCCTACCCCCCACCCCCCGTTAATCACCCGTGCCCAGCCTCTGACCCCTTACCGCAGTGGCCAACTGCTTTTTGTATGTGACTGCGATAGGCTTGTTGGAGGTGTCTACCAATAAAAGGGCAGCCGCCCTGTTGGACAACCCTTAAAAACCCTCAACGTGTTCCAGAAAAGTTGTGCTGTGCCACATGTGTTCTGCTTCATGGTGTGTACAATGAAATGAGCAGAAGGTCGAGCAAATACTAAGAAATTACAGCTACACTAGCAGCCATTTAAAATGGCCCTTCCAAGTCAAAAGTCAGCCGAATGGCAGCAAAATCCCCTCCAACTTCCAGCCACTGGGCATCCATATTTTATTTTACTCTGACTCCACCCTTTCACTGAATTACAGGGTCTGACCAGGAAATAACACTACTCTTTAGATCTAAATCTCCACAAGTCATGACAGAAAGAATATTTTAGGAGTTTAAAAAGGAATTGTATGAGGCCAGCCAAGGACCAGTCAATAAACAGCCAAGGACCAGCCCAGGACCAGCTAAGGACCAGCCCAGGACCAGCTAAGGACCAGTCAATAAACAGCCCAGGACCAGCCAAGGACCAGCCCAGGACCAGCTAAGGACCAGTCAATAAACAGCCAAGGACCAGCTTAGGACCAGCCCAGGACTAGCCAAGGACCAGCCCAGGACCAGCCCAAGACCAGCCAAGGACCAGCCAAGGGCCAGCCCAGGACCAGCTAAGGACCAGTCAATAAACAGACAAGGAACAGCTAAGGACCAGTCCAGGACCAGCCAAGGACCAGCCCAGGACCAGTTAATAAACAGCCCAGCACCAGTCAATAAACAGCCCAGGACCAGCCCAGGACCCATCAAGGAAAATTTAAAATGGCTACTACTGTAAATGTTCTGTCTTTAATGCTATCATGAACCAAAGACCTCTTAAATTGTCCACATTTGCTTTCTCCAAACAAACAGCACAATTCCAGACCATTTCACTGCAGTATTTTCACTCCTTCCAAGCATGCCTGGAATCATAAAGCCCTTTTTTCTTTCACTCACTTTACACCAAAGCTGTCTATCTCCTTTCAAGGCTCCACTGGGAGAAACAGGTGGGGGTGAAAGACGCTGCAGCGCTGTAAACCGGTCGGAGCTCAGCGCTCCACTCCAAGTTTCACCAGCCCTCCTGGGATACATCCCTTTGCACACACCTCCCGGTGGGCTTGCTAATTACTCCACTTACAGTCCTCATTGCTTCTATCATCCAAGCACAATGTGAAAGGAAGAGTGGAGAAAGCAAGTGAGCGAGAAAAAACACATTTCAAACAGAGTGCAAGGAAGGAAGGCATGAAAGAAGAGACAAAACAAAAAAATGTAGGTGAGGAAAGGAAACAGTAAAGGACTGGAGGGAAAATGGTTTGCATTTTGTGGCCCTGCTGATCTAAAAATTCAGTTTAAGGTTAAAACAAAGACAGTGGTTTACCTTGGCATTCTGAATTGCGCTCCTCATATCCAGGGTTGCACAGGCAGATTCCAATGGGCACCAACCACTCTCCATCAGCTCCGCAATACATCTTAGGATCATCCCTCTCCTCTGAATTATCCACACACGAGCCACGAACTTCCACCAGCGAGGAAGTATCGGCACCAGTGATGGTATCAGGAAACTGGGCCAAGTTCCGCACGGATAAAGGGCATTTCTTGTAGAAAACCCGGACGGAAACGAGAGCGATGCACGCTCCGACATCCTGGAACGCCAGATAAAAACCCTTCCTTGTCAGGGCGCCCACGTCCCGAACCTCCGTGTTCAGCTTCATGATGCGGTCCCCGATATCCACCTGAGTGAAGCTCTCGTCAGCAGCGATGGTGTCTATCTTGCTGAACTGGTTCTCGCGGATGTAGCGCTCTTTGTCATTGTTGGACTCGTAGTAGTAAAGGTTGAAGGTTTCCTTGCAGGTTCCCATGACCCCTGGCAGGCTGTTGCAGTCCCGCAGGGTGAATTTGATCTCGATGTAGACGCGCTGGGCACCTCCACGGGGGATCCAGTCAGTACGAAGCCAGTTGTTCTGATTTGGCTCCATGACATTGCACACCTGGTACGTACGGATGGGGATGTTCTTTTCATCCATAATGCTCACTTCCTCCCACTGGGGACGAGAAGAAAAACATTACAAGGAGATTCAAACTTGATGGATCTTATAACTTACCAGGGGTGGGCAATCCCAGTTCCTGAGGGCCGCTATTCTGCAGCTTTTATATTTGTCCTCGGCCAAACACACCTTAATCAAATGTCTGAATTATGTCCTCAGCACGCTGTCAGTTTCTGCAGACCTCACCATCGTCTAATGGAACAAGGACACCTCTAAAATTTGCAGGATAGCCGCCCTAAGGGACTGGAGTTGCTCATCCCTGAAGTCTTAGGCCTTACGCCACAGACATAATAATCAAGAAGAACAGGACTGTTCAGTTCTTTTAACAAAAAAGAAGCATTTGACTCTTTTACTCAACGTTAAAGCTAACTTATAAGATATGTTTTATGTTTGCCGCATAATAGACTTTATGTGGAATCTTAAAGATCCTTTTATTTAGCACTTACCCTCAAGTATAGGAAGGTGAAGTTAATTAAATAGAGTTTGGAATCCTGAGGTTGTGAGTCCGAAACCTAGCCTCATGAGACCATCCTGATCTCGCGAGCTTTCAAGGTTTCACTCGCTAATCAGTCTGGAGACTCTCCGTTAAAGAAAATTTGGTGCCGTTCACCAAACGAACGTCCAATCAGCGTTGGCTTTGAGGCGGGTTGAGGTGTGACGCAACGAGAAGCGCAACAGTTCGGTCTAAAGAACATGGCGGCTTCAGCCGATGATTGTGCCTTTTACTCGCAAATTATCTTTACATAAACGGCAAATATCCTTTGCCGACATGTTGCGTATTTGCTGAGCTAACGAGCCTTCACCTGAAGCAGCAAGAGTTAGCCTGGCTTGTGGTTGTGTTTTCGTCGTCGCTCTGTTAGTACGTCATATGCTTCATTGATCTGATTGGTTTATTTGGCCCGTCTATCACCAACATAGGCCAATCAGCTAACCAGTATTTTCACCCCTTCCCAAAATTACTTCAACGGAAGGTTTCCAGATGGATATGCGGAGCAAATCCAGCAAATCCATCTGGCGGAGTCAGGTTATCCGAAACCCACTGCCAAAGACCTCTATTCTGGGTCTCTGAGCAAGACCCTTAACGCCACACTGTTCCCAGGTCGCCGCACAATGGCAGCCGACTGCTCTCCAAGGGGAGGGGTTAAAGGCAGAGGTAAAGTTCAGTTATTATCATTAATATTTTTGCCTCAACTGTCTTCAGTTCAATTGCTTTGGGACCAGAGAGTAAAACAACTTCCTGCACACACATTAGCAATGACAAGGCTGTTCCATGATATTAGAGATGTTATGAAGGAACAAATGCCACAGTGGGATCCCACAGATGTAGAAAGTCTTTGAACAAGTGCTAACGATGTAATGCGACCAGGTCTGCTTCCTGTCTGCGTAATGGAAGACGACCTGTAGGCCAAAGCGAAACGTGTTCGCTGAGGTTAGCATGAACCCCCGGAGAGAAGGGAGGCACTGATCTGAGGCGTATGGGTTATTTTTCCCTGTGCAATTTAGCTTATTTTTGCCAAAAACTGAGTGTTTGTTTTACTTATGATAACCCCCCCCCCCGCCTCTCTATAGAGAGCTCTGCTGAGTAAACGTGGGGCCTCGTCTTGAGAGGCTCAGGGCACGACGCTTCCCCTCGAGTCGTGTTTTTTGAAAAAGAGTCATCGTCTGAGCCGGACTGGAAACAGAAGCAGCTTTTAGAAAAAGAGAAGATCTGGGATGATGGGAGGAATGGGCGACGCTGGCAGATGTGTCTCAGAGGCTAATCGTTAACACTCTGGATTAAAACCTAATTTCCCAGGAGGAGGAGGGGATAATACTAAATACATCTGCAGCAGAAAACGTCTATCATTCCCTGCTGTTCCTTTCCACTCTGCTCCCTTCCCTCTGTGCCCCCCCACCCCCACCCGCCCCCCTTTTGTTGTGGAAATCTAGCGGCGCTGAGATAAGGCTGCCCCTTTTCCTGATAGCAGGAAAGAGGCAGAATGAGATCAATTGGTCATAATGAGAGGGTGAACGCAGGCTCGCAGGAGCTGCCAGGACCCCGTCAATCAGCGGTTGATGATAAAATGGCTGATAGCGGGACTGCGTCGCTCAGAGAGGCTCACGCTCTGTGTCACAGATCTGATTCTGTCAATTTGGAGTCACATTTATGCAAACAATCAAAATCTTTTTAAGGAAATTCAGCATTTTAGGCAGAACCTCCATATCTAATATCAGGCTGTGGTATCACGCATTCTTCTTCTTTGGTTTGTAGTTGAGGCTGAAGCACTCTGCACTTTCCGCCTTTTTCATCCGTTCCAGAGGACCCTAAGCTGCCAAGCCCCCCCCCCCCCCCCCCCAGCTGAATGGTGGACAGGGATATAAAGTTTACCCACAAAGACCGATTCAACCCAACTTCTATTCGGGAAACCTGACGCCCGCTGCAGTATCAGGCCCTGCATCTGACCATTACTGAGCGGTTAGAGGCGAGGCGAGGGAGCAGAGAGGAGAAAATAATATATTCTGGAAGCTAACGGGCCCCTCCAGGTGTTCCGAAGCGTCTCCACATGGATAACCACGGGATCAGGTTTCATCCAATCAATTTCTCGGTGCATCTTAAATGAAACGATCTCACCCCGAAGAACCAACCCGCTAAACGCTCCGATTCTGCAAAAAGTTTGAAAGTCGCCTTTAAAAATTCAATGGATTTTATTGTGGCTTGAGAGGGAAAAAAAAAAAGTATCACACAAAAACTGCCCCTCCTCCACCTGTTGCTGTGCACAGTCAGCTGGATTTAAAGGGGGCTGCTACACTTTTTACAATCAATCACAAGGAGAAAAAAACTAATATTGGCGTGACGGTCTTAAGAAGGGAAATAAATAAACAAAAGAACCAAATCCAACAAATATTTAAAGTTGATCTTATTTTAAAGCTGAAAAAACAACTAAGAAATGTTCTGTAGAGCAGCCTGCCGCCACAGCAGACAGCTTGATTTACACAACACTTTATATCAATAAAAAAACTAGTTAAATGTAGTTTATGAAACGTTTTCCACATAAAACTCTCAATTTCACAATAATAATTTATATTTTAAATGTTTTTATTCTTTTTTTTAACTATATACTATCATATGCCTTTGTTTTTTGGTTTGTTTATGTCCCTGATGAAGCCAATATTCTGACAGGTTCAACAGATGATGCAGTAAATCTGCAGAAACTGATGAAATGATCTCAGTGTGGGAAAAAAAAAGTCCAAACCTGCAGGAAACAAAAATCAAACGCTGTCTTCCATGTTTGTGACTTTAGGATACCTACCCCTCCTTCTGTCGGGCTGGCCACCCATCCCAGCTCCCCCTGAACAGCCCTGGAGTCCAGTAACGTGACTGGAAAACAAGAATGGAGCCGTTAGCGCGCAGAACGCGCAGCCTGTCCACAAGGCACCAGCATTTATCATCCAATAGGTCCAACACATGGAGGGAAACAACAACATCACACCCAAAACATTATAAACATTATAAATATAATATATAAGGATGCGGGGAGGGAATTTAAAGCTTTTTCTCTGCGTGTTTCTGCGTTAATCCCCCGCGTTCGGATTGAATTGTTCCGGAAAGGGATTTATGCATTTATTTAAATAAAACTCTGAGAATAAAATATAAGAAAAATGAAATATTAAAAACCTGAAGAAAAATAAAAGGGAAAATCTGTTGCCTTCATTTTCTGTTGATTTGGACCAAAACTAAATAATCTCAGATAGAAATATACGGATTAAATTCTTTCTATCTTCTCACACTTTAAACTAATAATCTGTTTTTTTTCTTCATAGATCCGGAATCATAGGAGCTGCTTTTCGCTCAGTTTATTTTAAATCTCTCAGGAAGTCACACATGTTCCCCTTTTTTTGTGAAATAAAACTGTGAATGTTTTTGCGCACCTTCCTTTTAATTAATTCTACTTTTTTTTTTCTTTACTTGCATTTAAAATAAAAATCCTCCATCTTCCACTAGAGTGACACTAACAGCGATCATTTCCCTCTCTGCTGATTGTTGTCTCATTCAGTTTTTTTATCATTTAAACCCATTTTGAGTTGAAATCGGCTCATTTTTCTTTCTGCTTTTAGCGCACCAGCGCTGCGTCGGGACCACAGGTCTTACTTCTTCATGCACCCAGAGCTACCTGTGCAACTAAGACCTAAACCAGCAATGCGCATCTGGGAAGCCCTTATGTCTTTATGCTAGAAAAGAAAAAAAGAAATGTCATCTTTGTTGGGGGTTTTTAACTCTTGAAGGGGCCCCGTCCAAACGGCTCCAGGGGCCAAAGGCAGCAGGCTCTGCGGCGCAAACAGGATGGAGCCTGAAGTCCGCTGCGGTCTTCTTACCTTCATTTGGAGGATAAATCCGAGCGGAGGAACCGAGCGCAGAAATCAGAAAGGTGACCGTGAACAGAATCCCTGCCATGAGTGCCATTTGCGACGCGGCTCCGCGTTTTTCCTCTCTTCTTTTTCTCGCGTTTCTCCTCTCTGTGGTCCCGCTCTCTCTCTCTCTCCCTCTCTCTCTCTCTCTCTCTCTCTCTCTCTCTCTCTCTCCCTCTCACACACACTCCCTCTCTCTCCCTCTGCCTTTCCCAGCGGATTATGGTTTGAAGGAGAGAGACGCACCGAGCGCTCCACAGGCTGGAGGCGGGTCTGTGCGTCCTGACGCGCAGCCCGTCATCCAAGGAGGAAACTTTGGGGACAAGTGAGGGGCCAGCAGACCCTCATTAATAACCCTCCGAGTTTCATTAGTCTCCTTATTAGTCTCTCAGATAAACATCAGATTCATTGAAACAAACAGAAAAACCGTATCTAAGCAGTTTTATCTTTTTTCACCTCATCTTTTCCTCCTCATGATCAAACCGAGCTTCCCTATAAATCTGCTGCAGGACTGTGTCTGATCCCGTCCTCTGTGCGGGACTGATCCCGCATGTCTGCAGACCGAGGTCGCCACCTAGCGGACAATTTCAACACTTCTGCCTCCAAAATTGGATTAAAAACAAGCATGGAGCTGACCTTGCCTCGCATTACAAGGTAAAGCACTTTGTTCAAATTGACACGAGCTGCTCTGAGATCACTGCTGAAAATGTCGGAATTAATGTCCCTTTGTCTGGTTTTACACCATAAATTACTGGAAGAGTTTAAACAGGAAAAACAGGAGTTTAGGTGTGAAGAGACGTTTACTTTATTATTCTGTTAATGCCATGTAGGAGAGTTTAAATTGCAGAGAATGAAACAGGCCTCAGGGAGTTGATTTTTAAATAACTCTGTATTGTAGTGGATGGAATGTACATTTAATTCTATTCAGTAGCGACAGTGGAGAGGAAAAACCTTCAGCAGAATAGGCTCAGTGTCAGCAGCCATCTGCTGAGGCCCACTGGGGTCTTATCCAGATAGAGAAATGTTAATAGAATAGACATCCATTCTCTGTTCTAGGTTGTGTCCCTCTCTTCTTGTCCCTTTTCTTCTTGTTTTCCTCTCTATGTTTTGTACTCAGCTGACTTTTCATGCTGTCTCTAAAGGAATGAAAGAATTTTTCCAAGCACTAAGCTCACTTAGCTGATTGCTCCTTCCTGTGTTTCCAAAAAGGCCAAAGTAAATAACCCAGTCCTTCTTTTCACTGTAGACAAGCCATGATCTGCTTCTCTGTTCTCCATTTTTCATTTGGATGAAATAATAGCTGCATGAATCATGACAGCAGACAAGATAGAGGAGAGCAGGAGGGGGGGTTACCAATCTACTCGCTCTGGAGAGCAGAGTTCGCTGCTTTTAGATGTTGTCTCCAAAGTCTCCAGTAGCAGAAAAAAGTCTCTAGATTTGGCGCTAGGAGCTTTTTAGAAATCAAAGTGCTAGAGGGGTCTGAAAAGTGGCTAAATATAGCGACTAAAGCGCTAAGTTGGCAACACTGCTCTTTGCATGGTTTGTTTTCAAATGGTTTGCTGCTGTCTGTTTGGACCTTTCTGAACATGTGCAGCAAATGGACTGATCCAATATGGTGGACACTGAAGGGGGGGCTGAGACACACTTAGTATTATCAGCGTTCTGATGACATTTTAGCAAAAGGATTTTTATCAAAAACATAATTAATGTGCAAAAATAAGGAATAGTTGTATTAAAGGAATAGTACACCCAAAACATGATTAGCCTTCATTTTCTACTCACCCCCATGCTGAACAACACTCTGGAGTACTTTTTTGATATCTCAAATGCATCTGGAGATCTGGGAGGCTTCTTGCTGTCTGCTGACATTCAAATAATGGAGGTCTATGGCGCCCGAGACAGAAAGGTCCATAAAAGTCCACAAAAAACGTGTCAATATTCCTCCATACTGCTCGTCCAATGTATTCCAAGTGTCCTGAGTGGGTAGCATCCAGAATTTACTTGAAACAAAGTCATTTAGAATGTTTTTAGAGCATAAACCTGAATCCCGATTAACCTGAAGAGGGGGTATCTCTAATGGTTTGTTGATGTTTTCTACTAGATATTGACAAAAAATGCGTTAAAAAAATTAAATTCAAACATTTTATTGATCTAGTGTCGGTTTTTACGTGTTTCTGTGAAAATAAAGACATTAATGATCAATAAAAGTATCTCTTTTTTTTCACTGCCCTTAAAATGAACCTTTTTTCTTAATTATTTGAAAAATAATTGTTGATAAAGGCTGCACAGGGTCTTGTAGCAAGAAGGTTTTGGGTTCGATTCCCGGCCCGGGATCTTTCTGCATGGAGTTTGCATGTTCTCCCTGAGCATACATAGGTTCTCTCAGGGTACTCCGGCTTCCAACACTGACTGTTAGGTTAATTGGCTTCTCTAAATTCTCCTTAGATGTGAATGGTTGTTTGTCCTGTTTGTCTCTGTGTTGCCCGGCGATGGACTGGACACCTGTCCAGGATGGACCCCGCCTCTCGCCCGTAGACAGCTGGAGATAGACGCCAGAATCCCTCGTGACCCCAGCAGGGATCAGATAATAGACGGATGGATGGAACTTTTTGAAGAAATTAAAGAAAGTGAGAAATGAAAAAGCAAAACATATTTTTCTTTGAGACTCATCCTGAACAGCTCGACTTCTTGGCCTTTTCGAGGTTATTCATGTGCATATGGAATAGAAGACAGTTTTTACACTGCAAAAACAATATATAAATAATTGAAAAAGTTCTTAAATTAAGTGTATGTACCCTTAATTTCAGCCGTTAAATCAGATTTTTTGATCTTGAAATAATATTAGATAATATGCACTCAAAATAAGACAATGCAATAGTTTTTGTCTTATTTTAAATGTAAATTGTCTTGTTTAATTGGCAAAGTGTCTCACTTGCCTCCTCAATTTAAGAAAAAATTCACTTTTTGCAGTGATGGGTCTGGAAGTTTCAGCCCAAGAATAAACTGGATTTCTGGGGGTTTTTCAATCCTCTTCCTGCCCTCTTGCACTTTTCCTTTCGATGTTTTCCAGCATCCAGCTGCCATGCACGTGTGCATTGTCAGTTTCACTATAGCTCTGGTGAATTTCAATGGTGAAGTCCTCTGGAAATCTTCAATAATTGTTGTTGATTGCAGATGTGTCTAGTAGTTCCCATTGATTTAGCTTGTAAAGCGGGGAGAATGGCGCTAGGCTTACCGCACCGTGACGTCACTGCTGGAAGATGGCAGGAGGGAGGGGCTACTATGTTTGGGCAAAAATGGCCGCTCTCACACTCAGTGATTGTGTCGAAAATTATTGTTTTTATTTTTTTTTGCTGACTAACGCTAAATTCGTATTAGTTTTAGTTATAAATAATGATCCATTGATTATTCCCTGCTGACCAAACTTTTCCTTTAAAACCCCCTAAAGTTGATGAAGACTGAATCATTTCATTTACAGAACATAAACCAAAAACCACCTGAACTAAAGGATTTCTCAGAATGAAATCTTTAGATCCTTTCAGTGTTTTATCGTGTGCTCATGCATCTCAAACATAAGAAGAAAACACAGCATGATCATTTCTGCAGGCAGTACTTTTCCATTGCACTGCGGTGCTTCCAGTGCGTGTCTATCGGTGTTCTGATTCCTTCATGTCGTTTACCAGTTCTGATCTCCATTAAAGCTCTTAAAGCGACTCAGCGGTATCGTGTGCAGGCACTGACGGCACTTCTGTCATTTCCCTCAAACAAAGGCCACTTTGTTTGTGTTTGAGAAGAAGCCAGCTGTGTCCAGGTCTGAGGTTTAGTTCAGGGTGCTCTCTCACTTTTATGTCCTCCCACACAGGTCGCCTGTCGCTCCCATGAGGAGGGCGCTTTTGCTGCCGTTGGCAGGCAACCCCTCGCTGATCCGCAGAGGAGGCTGCCTCTGTGTGGGCAGGTCAGGGCGTTCCGAATCAGCACACACAGCTGCCGGGAGCGCAGGAAGGACCTGCAAACCACAACTGGCACCTTCTGAATATTGTGCCTCAGTAAATCGGAATGTGGCTTTTAATAGATTTCTGACGGTGATTCAGCAGGGAAACACGCCCCGATATCCAGGCCTAAGAACCCTCGGAAAACTCATTGTATCCATTTCAGCTGCTTTTTCCTGGTGAGGATTGACAGTCAAAACAGAACTGGATCCCTTAGATGAGACAAAGATCTTTAGAGATTAGAAGGAGGTGCAGGTATTTGGGGTTCAAGCACCTTCCTGTAGATTGACCAGCCGGGTTCATGGCAAAGCTGAGAAAAGCGCTGCCACAGCATGTCATTAAACGGGACAGTTGGACTCAGTATTCAAGCTGAGACGGTCAGTAGGGAAGTACAAACATTTATTAACAGAAAGAATCAAACAGACGGAACAGAACAGAAGCGCCGGACTGTGGAGCTGCGAAACGCAGCGCCTGCAGGGGGCGGGCCGCTTAGCAGATGGCCGCTCACACTGAGCCTGGTTCTGCTGGAGGTTTCTTCCTGTTCAAAGGGAGTTTTTCCTCTCCACTGTCGCTACAAGCATGCTTAGTGTAAGGGATTGCTGAAGAGTCAATGAGTCGATGCAATCAGCTGGTTTTCCTTAGATAGAATCAATCTGACTGGATGATCTGGTTGAACTGGAAAGTGACCTGATGTGAATTGGAGCTATAGAAATAAACTGAATAGAATTGAATCCAGGAGTTCTCAGCTGATAAGAAGTTTAAGTCCAAACAGAAGTCGAGGGAAACATGGTTCATGGAATCCACAGAGCGTGAAGTTCAGAGGCAGATGGGTCCAGAAAGGCAGGATCAGATCCGGACGGCATCGGATCCTGATCCTGCCTCAGTGGTTGCGGGAAAAGAGACGTGGTACCAGAATTTCTGCAGGAAACTTTAAACTGGTCTCCTCCTTAGAGCCAGGAAAAAAAAAACTGACCTTCTCTACTAAGATACAATCAGAAGACATACAGACACTAAAACCCTCTCAATCCGCTGGCCACCAGGAACCAGGACAGGAACCATGGAACTAAACCTAAACTAACTAACCAGACCACAAAACAAACAATGATCTGGCCCCGATGGCTGGACATGAGCCCAATATAAAGGAACAGACGCAGGTGGATGAGATTAGTGATAATGGGAAACCGGGAAGAGTTAGGC